ATATGATGGTTGGGATATATCTTTATTTGTAGTTATCATAAACCTTACTAGTTTATGATTATCCTTTGGCATGTAATCTTTATTCTAGTAGGATTCTAGTTTATCCTTGTCATTGGATAGATTGTAGACACCATATATATATGTGTGTCGTGTGGTTTAATGAGATACACAAGTTACTACTCTTCTAATCTCAACACATTTTGCATTTTCTCCATTTTATAGTTTTCTTTTGTCTTTCAACCAAATTCGGCAAAAAATCCTAACGCCTTGTTCCATAATTAATGATCTCTCCCATCTCATCACACTCTCCTTGATTATTACATAAAGTTCGGTGGTTCTTTTTCTCCAAAAGTTATATTTTCTTTTTTTCTTTTAATATATTTTCTTAAATCGATTCCTGGAAGGAAAAGAAAAGAAAGTACACAGTTGATCGGATGGGGAGATTGTTCTTGGTGAATTTGGAAGGGAAGTCTTACAGCTGCAAGCACTGTAACACTAATATTGTTCTTTGCGCTGATGTCGTCTCCAAGGTCTTTCCCTGTTTCTCTGCTAAATCTTGTTTTGTTCTCTGATCCTTCATATTCAAATCACTGATCATTGTAAATTGATGGTTACATAAATCTAAATTGATTATAGAGAATAATCATATTGTATTTGAGTATGCATTCAATTTTTATTTTTGTTTTGCTTGGTTTACAGTCTTTCCAATCCCGTAATGGGAAAGCTTACCTCTTCCGTAAGGTGTAAGTTTCTACTTCCATAGTTTTTGTTGAGAAAAGCCTAAGATCACTTGGAAAATGTTGGCCATGTTTTTTAATGGTCAAAGCTCGATAGGAATAGTTTTATTCATTTTTACTAGATTTTGTGTGGGCAGAGCGAATGTGTATGCTGGGGAGAAGGAAGATAGAATGATGATGACGGGGCTGCACACTGTGGTTGATATTTACTGCGTCAAATGCGGCTCTTATGTTGGATGGAGATATGTAAATAAGAAAAAACATCCAATGTTTTTTCTCTTTTTAGTTTTCGCTCTTGCCTTTTTGCTAATCTAATTGATGTTTGTTTGTTGCTCAGGAGTTTGCTTTTGAGAAGAATCAAAAGTACAAGGAAGGCAAATCTGTTCTTGAAAGGTTAGTATACTTCTCTGATTAATCTCAGTTAGTGTTGTTTTTTCTTGTGTTGAGATGATGATTTTGTTTTATATTATTCTTGACAGGTACAAGGTCTGTGGTCCGGATGAAAACAATTGCTTGGTGGTAGCTCAAGAAGTTGAACCCGGAGAAAGTGAAACTGATGAATGATGCTTCATATCAATAACTCTTTATCTGATTTGTACATTCTATCCTTCTCTATCTGTCATTCGTTTCCATTCTCTTTCTTCTCATTTTGTGAACCATCTATCTTCCGTTAAGACACTTTATGAGATCAATTGTTTGTGTTGCAACTACTTGTGGTACACATTCAATTTTATCTTATTTATCAAAGCTTCTAAGTTTGTTTGTAAAGTTCTTTTCTACATGAACATCAGTGTATATTCCTGTTTAGAATCATATTCAGCTTGCTCATTCCAAGCCTTGAAAATTATAGTCTACCATATAATTAGGTCTTTGGTTGTATATAACACACACAGAAGAGGTACTATGGTCCGAGAAAAAAATATAGTAGATTAATGCATATTTCTATAGTTTTTAAGTATCAAAAATGTACATTTACAAATTCTTAGCATCAGTGGTATGAAATTCTCTTTTTGATCACTTCAAACTGTTTCTGTATAACCAAATCAGTTAACGTACCAGTACCACCAAACCGGACCAATAAAATAAACCAATGGATTAAAAATATAGTGTTTACGATCATATACATTGTTGGGTCGCATCTTAAGTTTAATTGGGCTTTAAATATAAAGGCCCATTAAACCATCAAAAGTAGAACTAGAAGAGTCACGGAGAGAGAGGGTTATGAGGTTTTGCCTGGCGAAGCAGCAAACTGAAAACTCAAAGCAAATTTTTATTGAGATCTTTTGTCATGAAATGAAAATATAAAACTACAAAAAAACATAAGGAAAAGACACAGTTTGAAGGGAAATAAAGTTTCACTAGTGGCGTAAGCTTCGTAAAAAGGATATGATCATAAGGGGAAAAAGAAATCATGAAATCAAGAACGTGCTTTGTTACGCAATATGCTTTTTAGCTTACTTTAAAAGAAACATTCTTTTTTTTTTCTTGATAACAAAGATAAGTGTTGTGTTTATTTAAACCAAATCTACAAATAAACAAAGAATTAAGCTTTTTGTTCGCATTAAGTAGTTAAATGATACAATTTGATATGCTTAAGATTAGGATAGCCTTAGCCTCTCTACGATTCTCGTACTTGCGTGATTGTTTCAATGTTCTTATTATTATACTCACTAAGGCCCTTTTGCATTATGTTGTTTGGTATAATAATGCATACAATAAATAATTCTTATACTTCATAATCCAGATAATACATGTATAAATAATAAATCGGGCTGGTGTACTCATACAGTAGTATAATATTGAATTCTTGGACATATGATTTTTTCACGATTGCTATAGTTAAAAGTTTATAAGAAAAACATGCGACTGTTATTTAGAAATTCTCTAAAATTGTCATTTTGCTATGGAAAAGATATAACCAGGCGTCATTTCACTTTAAATATATGTTTTACATTTCTTTATGTTGTTCTGATAATCAGCATCGCAAATCTTAGTCATCAAAGTGTGGATACACACGCAGGCGTGTTTTTATTTGTATATGTGTGCCAAATGGTGTGGACTGTATAGTGTATAGTATATAGTAATGCATGTATGACGTGAGAATATTGAATGTTTTTCAAATTGGTATAGACCAGTGTAATGCATGTAGATCCCATCGACGCGACCAGATATAAAGTGACAAAAGAAACAAAGCCATAAAGTAGCGAGAAAGAAAGAAACAACTTTATTTTCTTTATCCGATATAGTACTAGCAAATTGCAATCGCATGTCACAATTGATTATGGAGATTCATCTAAAATAGAAGATATGTAATTCAATCAATGTGATACCTTTGAATATGAATTATGGTTATACAGAAGTGTAATATCTAAATGTGTCTTAAATCTCTGTGCATCAATAAAAATCAAGTATTCATTGGACCGGACCGAATGTAAACGTCATAGACGCTATCAAGGTTGACATCTGGAGATATGAGGACTGCAAGTCTCCGCAGTATAGTATATCTTTTTGGTTTAGAAAAGTTTAATTTTTATAGATAAGTATGTATTTCTATAATATACAAACTCTAAAATGGTAATTGTCTTAATTCATTTTGTTCTGCTTTTTTTCGAGTTGATTCACTTTTGTTCACAACAAAAACAAGAAGATATGTAACACCATATTGTTATCTTATTCCAAATTTATGTGTGTATTTATTTATTTATTTATTTATTTATTTATTTTGGAGAGGCAAAGGGGTTGGTTGAAGAATGAGATTCTTTGGTCAGAAGTGGAAATCAGACTCAGCTTCTATTGTATACTCAACAATAGTTTATAGTTATACCCTTTTTTTTTTTGACAACAATAGTTATACCTTCCATCTGCATTCACACAATATTATATATCTATCCTTAACAATATTCGGATGCTAATTACGCATGTATGTAAACAATTAGTGAATTTCAGTTTTACTTCAGCTACATCATATGAATCTATGGTCTTGTTAGTTATACTATAGCCAATATTCTTTAAAAACTATCTAACCAAAACATTAAACTCTGAACAAAACTTCATTTCTGTCCTGATTGATATATTTGCACACTAACTTCATAAAATAAGTTGTGGTTAAAAGTTATCATCATAGCGCACGAACATAGATATTATAATTTACTCGGGATTTCGTAAACATAAACACACACTGACACACATATACAGCCACATTCATGTAAAAACAAAAACAAACAAGATCATGACACACGAAACATATTTAACAACTCGGACTCCTGCTTGTAATGCCAGTCGCAGTTTTACAACTCAACTTCATTAGAACTTCGAGTTTGGTCGTTGTTGATAATACTTTAACTTCTGGCACTGCGAACAGCAGTATCAAAGGGAGATGAGGATGGAGAAAACATGTTTCCTGAAGATAGATTATCACTCACAAACCCTAAATCCGGGAGGATGTCTCTATGATCAGAAAAGGAACGGTTGAGATTAGCGTTTAGAAGATTAACGGTTGTGGTGTCATGAATGCTTGGCCGGCGCTTATCCTTGCCTCCCGAGAGTTGTCTCTGGTAATACTTTTGAGCGTGGCTCGCAACTTGTGTTGGTGTCTTAGACACCACGAAGTTTCTCGATATGTTTCTCCAATCTCCTTTCCCGTACTTGAGAAGCCCTAGCAAGAATCTCCTGCACAGAACAAGAAACAGAGCAATGTTAAGCCCTAAGAAAAAACAGAGGAGTGACTTGTTTAGCAAGAAACAAAGCAATGTAAACCCTAAGCACAACAGAGGAATAACGTGTAACGCAAAAACCTATAAAGGGAATGACTTGTTTAGCAAGAAATAGAGCAAAGTAAACCCTAATCGCAACAGAGGCATAACTTGTGGTGCAAGAAACCTAGAAAGAGTGACTTTTCTTAAAACCTGTGTTCTTCCTCTGTCCAAGGGACACCTTTCTTACGATCATGATCACATCCTCTTCCCCCACTAGGTCGTTTCCGACACGTATCCGGGTCAAGAGAAGAAGCTGAAGGGTAACCAGGAATGGGGACACGTCCAGCTTCTATGTCGGAAACGTCTTCTTCAAGCTTACTGTATTGCTTCATAACATCGTAAACAGTTTTGCCAGGGATCATAGAAGCGATACTGAACCAGCGATCGGGAGAGTCTTCAGGGTATATCGCAAGGGCACGTTCGAACATCTTGTTCTCTTCTTTAGTCCAGACGCTGCTCGAGCTCATCATCTCTTGAAGAGCAAACCGGTGATCAGAGATAGGCACGTGAGAGAGTGGATGGAGAGTCTTCATAGCTACTAAAATAAGTAATAAAAAAAAAGTTAAAAACTACAAACACAACTCAAAAAAGTCCCTTTTGTTTGTGTGAATGCTTGAGGATTAATTTTGTGGTATGTATTGGGGAAATATATAAGGTTTTATTATATATAGGAGGTTTTAATGATAGGAATCAAAAGTGGAGAGAAATGACAAAAAGGGAAGGTAAAATCAAGAATCATATACTGATGGAATCAAGAACCTGATTTGGGTGAGAGATATGAAGGCATATAACACCGACCTTGGAATCTGACAAGGACTCAAAGGGTTTGAAGAATCTATGAGAATCTCTAACAAAGTTGGTCGGTTGAAGGAAGACAAAAGCAGCAAAGGCAACCAGATGAGAAGTTCCTAGGATATAAAGCTGTAATGAGAACAAAGACAGACTCAGTTGTTGTAAAGGACAACGAGGAAGAGTATTATAGAAATTAGAGAGAGAGAGTTACTATTGGTTTTGGGGGGGCACTGAGAACTCAGAAGAAAAGGAGTAAGTGAAATTTGGCATATTTGGATTGGAGAAAAGCGAATGGCACCACTCTGATTCTTTTTTTTTTTAAAGCCGACAATTCTACCTGCCTTATGCGGATTCACGTCTGACTGCATCATCCTGAGCCGCCCTATGAGATCCATTCCTGACGGTACGCCTTGCGCCATGCTGAAGATCTCCTGTAAACGTTCTCCAATCTGCATAATTCGTCATTCACCTTCTTCGGGAATTGAAACCCTCCTGGTGTAAGAACTGCATAGCCTGGGATTCGAACCCCAGACCTGGTGTAGAAGCCTTTAAACCTTAACCACTAGGCTACGGTGCTTCCACCGTAGAAGCCTTTAAACCTTAACCTTGCGGTTCAGTTTTTGTCAAAATCTGTTATTGCTATATTTAAATGATTTTATTAAATATAAATTAGTCGGGATAATACGACAAAAGGTTTCTATCGTCTTTTTTTGGTCCACTCACAGAATAATATATCAAGGTAGGCAGTAAGAGCAAGAGCGCCTGTAGCTCAGTGGATAGAGCGTCTGTTTCCTAAGCAGAAGGCCGTAGGTTCGACCCCTACCTGGCGCGTATCTCTTTTTGAAGGTTGTTTTACTTTTTTTGTCAACTTATTGTTTCAGAACTGGAGTTTGAACGAAATACCACTTTTAGAGAAAGAGATTTGAGAAAACATGGAGTAACTGCAACTCCAGCATCCATCATCATCAAGAAAACAGATTGAATATTAATTTTACGTTCACTCAGAAAAATTTACGGCAGTTATTTGACAAAGACAAGTGATTACTGTTCATTAGTTAGTACATGTCGGTCAAGATATTTTTTTTCCACAAACTATGACACAACCAATAACTAAAGTTCACTAAATCCCACTTATAACCTATGAAACAGAACAAATATGGTTATAGAAACAAATTAAACTAATGTATACATGGTGAACTAAGTATAATATCTATCAAATTCTCAAAACTAACAAACTGGGAACAAAGACTAATACATTAAGTTAATATCGCAAACCGTTGAAAAGATATACATTGCTCTACGTTACTCCAACATACTTTAGATATTACAAACAAACATTACAAAAAAACTGTCCTTAATGAAAAGAAATATAAAGAGTTTTACTTAATCACACACATAAGCAAGGAGGTCATAGTTAAAAGGAGAATCTTAAGCAGCATGAGTAGGAGGACCAGCCTGAAGCCTAAGCAACCAAGAGATTCTCAAACTCGATTTCTTCAGCTGCAAGAAAATCTCTCTATACTCTTTCCTCAGAAACAAATCTAACGCAAACATGTAAAGATCACTCCCTTGCTCAACCTCTTCCATCGAATCCAAACGCTCAATACATTCACCAATAGTATACTCGCATTGCTTAGCCGACGAAGTCAAAGGACTCTCTCTCATCCTCTTGACCTCCAACGGAGTTCCAATCTCAACATCTTGTAACCGAGACTCTGCAAAACCAATACTGTTAAGTCTCCTGCGACGAGGAGTACGAGTAGGCTCACCATCATAGTCATCATTATCATCATCATCATCAGCATCCTCATCATCTCCATCTTCACTTCCTGTGACTGGCTCGTTTATGTAGAGAGTTGATAATGGAGTTGGGTCATGTAGTAGCTGTGGAGACTCGGAATGGTCTCGCCCTTTCCTCCGGTAAGGACGGAAGTCAGCTTTTCCTGGCTCAATAACTCCTTTAAAGATGATTGCTAGCTTGTCAGCACAAGGAACTTGTTTCCTTCTGAACTGTGCAGCTCTAGGGTTCTCCTGCATATCAAAAACAGATCTTAATCATGTCTCAAGCTCCAAACACTTTCCAGCTATTAGAAAAGAGTTTGATTACCTCTAAATAGAGTCTCCAGTCCTCATCTGAAGCACCAAAAGAACAAGTATTTGGATCCCATTTCATGAGAGGAGAGCCAATAACTTGACACCAAATCTTCCAAGCCTTCCTAGTACAATCCCAATGGTTTTTCAACTGAGCTCTTGTGTACTTTTTTCCAGAGTTTTGATTAATCGTCTCAAGCATCAATCTCCAGCTTTCTTTAGGATAATGTGTGTTAGGTCTGTTTCCTTTATAAGTCTCCTGCACCAACAAGTCCAGAAACAACTCGTGTGTAGCCGGTGACCAGTACCCTTTCGAATGAGTCGTTGAGAAATCAGATTCAATCTTCATATCATGATGAGTTGAGAAATTAGATGCTATCTGCATTTCATGATCATCATCAACATCATCATCATCTCCAGTATCAACTTCTTGTTCTTCATGATGAAGCCTGCTTCTTCTCTTCCTCTTGCATTTGCTAGAACCACCTTCATCATCTCCTACGCTACTACCTTCAAAGATAGTCTCCAGCTTCTTGAGATACAAAGGTGGACTCAACCGAAACGTCCCAGCATCAGGATTCACCTATGATTAAACCCCAAAACAACTAATCATGTCACATATAGCCTTAAGCAAGGCTGGCTCATTTTTCCTATAAGCCCTGTGCAAAAAAAAAATTCTACAAGAACAATAAAAATATAGGGCCCTAAATCTACAAACAAAAACCTCAAACTCTACCTAATTTTTTATATATTTTTAATTTGGACCCTGTGCCTAAGCACCTTGTGCACATGCCATCATGAAAACTCTAAATTTCTGCATACGAAACATAAAAATTTAGACCAATGCAACACATACAAGCCGGTTCTGAGATTTTAGGTACATTTAGGAAATGTTTCAATTCAATTTTTTTTTTAGCAAATTTGGGGTATGTTTATGTAATTTTCTTCAAAATGTTTGGATACTATACCAATGTTTCACACTTGGTTATGCCTAGGACTGGACCTACACATACCTGTAAATAGTTAGCCCAGTCTTCAGCAGTGGCACGGAAAGTACTAGCCTCAGGATCCCATTTCATATCACTGCAATTCACAAGCCTACGCCAAATCTTCCACTGCTTACACATTGTGTCCCAATGATTCTTAAGCTGTTTCTTGTTAAACCTTGCTCCAGTCCTCTGCTGAAAAGGTTCTAATAAATGTTGAGTTCCAGGTTTGTGCCCTAGCAGCTTCTGCTCCACGCATAGTTCCACGAATACTCTGTGGTATTCAGGTTCCCACGCAGCTTTCCCCTTCATTATTCTTCAGGCCTAATAATATAATTAAGACAAGAAAAAAGAATAATTAGGACAAAAAAAGGTTCCTTTCAGACAAGATCACATCATGTCTTAATGCAGAGATAGCCTTCTGGTTAGTGTCTGAATCTTGAAGAATGGCCACTAGAGAACCTAATCAAGTTGCAGTTTCTTTACTTGGAAACATTACATTACTAGATGGATGAGTAATTGTTCATTAAAACAAGAAAAAAGACAATTAGGACAAAAAAAAGTTCCTTTCAGACAAGATCACATCATGTCTTAACGGAGAGATAACCTTCTGGTTAGTGTCTGAATTTCAATGAAATACCACTAGAGAAACCTAATTAAGTTGCAGTTTCTTTACTTGGAAAGATTACATTACTAGATCGATGAGTAATTTGTTCATTCATGACAAGACAGTTATGCAAATTAGGGTTTAGGTTTAGACACTAGATCCACTTGCTCTTTTACACTAATCAATTGAGAAAGATTTTGTCACACACACACACATATCGCACAATCACGATTGAGAAAACGAAACGCTAATCGCAGAACACGATGAAGAAGAAGAAACGGGAAAAGCAAAAAACGAAAACGTAAAACGTTACCGGGATTTAGATTTGATTCGGCGAGAGCGATCTGATGAGTACTACAGTGTGGCGGTGTGGCTGTAATTAAAAAAAAAAAAAGGAGATCGCAATTTTTTTTTTCTCGCTCTCTGTGGTTTTTGGCGTTTGCGCCGCTCGGGACGGAGCTTTCTGGGTTTCTAAGCGATTTCTTTTATACCGGTTAAGCCGGTTTACTTTATTTGAAACGTTTTTTTGTTGTGTCGACAGGTTTCAACTAACAATATGTTTAAACAGATTTCCTCATCAATTCAATTAATGTTTTATGTGGATTTTAGTGTTAATTAAGAAGGTGGTATAAATGTGTAATTGAACAAGGCTACTTCTTTTTTGTAGTATGTAGATAAGTGAATTTATTGATTGTTTGGTATTACTCCCTCTGTTTTAATATAAGTGTCACTCTACAGCTATGCACACGGATTAAGGAAACAATTAATTTTACATATTTCCTATATAAAAACACAATTACCCACACACCTAACCATATTTTAACCAATAGAAAAACAAATTACATAATACAATTAATAAATTTTGCATTGAAAACCGAAAACGACACTTATTTTGTAACACAAAAAATTCTCTACAACGACACTTAATATAAAACGGAGGGAGTATATGATAGGAATAATCCCTTTAGTCACCTAAATAAATTTATTATTACATTTTTTAAAAGTTGTATGACCTTACTTTTCATAGATACATGCCCTGATGCACATATATACAACTGGCCTTTATCAGTGCATGGCTGGATCATTATAGCCAGTATGCTCTCTTGTTCTCTGGATAAGATTGAAGTATTGATTATGTACGGAATTACTCAGAGGAGACGCCTCAGTTTTACTCAGTTCATGAGACTATGACTATGTTTGAATATGGAAGAATGCACTAGATAAAGAAGCAAGAGCAAATTCTCTGGTATGGTTTGGAAAAGACTTGTAGAGGGGTTAATGGGAGATGTCTTTACCTCTCACTGAACGAGCTGATAAACATTGTTTCAAAGTCGTGGATTACCCCTATAAAGACCTTCATTCTTAGATACATTTTGCAAGCTACAATCTATTTGATTTGGAGGGAAAGGAACGCACGAAGGCATGGTGAGAAGCCTAGAGACATTGACTGCTTGGTTAAAATGGTTGATAAAACTATAAGACTCAAGCTTCTCTCTCTAAAGGGAAGAGGTGACTATCTTGAGGAAGGTTTGGTGACCTGGTTTGGGGTCTACTCAAACGACTGACACTGTTTTGCTCCACCCTTTCTTGTTCTTTTGGTCTTGCGCTTGCTGGGTTGTGTGCTGGAAGTTCTTCTGGTTTTCTTCAGGTGTGTTGGCGAATGTTACCATCCAACTATCCCTCTGAGTATGAAGTTTCTACTCTTTTTCCTCTATATAGTTTTGTCCCATTTGGGTTTTCTATATAGAGGTTTTAATGAGGGAAACTTTATGCTCCTTCCAAACTAACTTGTTTCACATGGTTAGTTTTGAGGGGGGAATGTTGGATTGGTGTTTGTTCATGTTTGTCAGAGAGTTCTTGTGGTTTTTAGAATCTTTGGTGCTCTTATTTTCTAGTTTCGGGTTTGCTCTGTTGCTTATTTGTTTTAAGCAAAAGCTTGGTTCACACTTGTTGTAAAAAACGTTTTTTTGATTGAATAAAATTTTACATTCATTCAAAAAAAAAAAAAAAAAAGCAAAAGCAGAGACTATTCATTTTTCCATATAGACCACATCCGGCCAGACAGAGTTTCTCTTCGGAGAATCGACTCGACTGGTCACCACTTGATCTACATCTACTTTAAATGGATGGCTGACAAAAAAAATGAATTCAACCTGTGAATCGTCTGCTGATGCTATCATGAATCAAACCATATAAACATTCAGTTGCGACTACAGAACTTTGCCTGATACTGGAACTACAGAACATAAGTTAGGATACACAGACAGCTGATAGAAAAGGCCTTTGTCTTTTCCATTAATTAATCAATGTTGATATCACAAAACTAAATGTAAAGAATCAACAAAAAGAAGAAGCTAAATCCAAAGTTACTCTAGAACAATCTATGATAAAAGCTGTAGAAGATGTGTAAATAAAACACGAACAAAGAAGAAAAAGAAAACTTGCATTGCTTTAAGTACTCTGATCCGTTGATGTTGCTTTACACATCCTTTGCTTTTTTGGACCAAAGATGCTGTGTAAGTGAGTTCTGTTCACAGCAAAAGAAACTTGCCTTGTGTTTACCTGAGAGGCCTAAAAATAAAAACGAAGGTTTTTCTTTTCATTTGCTTCGTTTCTTGGCTTCGCTGTAGAGAATAACTCCAAAGACAGTGAGTGAGTAACCTAACATTCCAGTCACTGAGACAGGATTCTTGAATATTAAAATCGAAATCACAACTGCTACTGCACCTTTGGCGTTTCCTAGCACCTGTCACAGAGATGTTCATAATTCACTTATTAACTTATGAATGGCTTTGGATGATAGTAATGTATAGAAGAGATGTATTGTTTTTACCTGCAGAGTAAGAGCGCTGGTGTGTTTAGTGACTAAGAAATTAGTCAAGTTCACGAAATAAGCGAGGGCAGAATTGAAAAGCAGATACCAAACGATTCTAAAATCGTCTCTAGCAAGTGCAATAGTAATGCCAACAACGTTCTTCTCCATGATAAGTGTGGCAGGAAGAAGAAACACAACAGCTATGGGAGCCATGTAAAGGAGGAGATTCATGGAATTTAGCTTCTCCCTTCAAACAAAATTTAAATACTTTCAGCAGCAGATACAAACTTCCGAAAGAAGGTAGAATCTTTAACTTATTAAATCTCCAAAAAGATGATAGTATCTCTTACCCTTCAGAAGATAGCAAAATCCCTTGAAGAACTGATTTAAGTGCTCTCGCAGCGGTAGCTGCAATGCACATAATGAATCCAAACAGGTGGAAACTTGGTTCTCCCTGACATATACATGAAAAACAAGTCAATATAGAAAAATAAGCTCTGAATGAAATCAAATAGATCCAACCGTATAAAGCATACACATCACACATACAAGACCAAATCATCTTCTAGCTTAAACTTTTCCACATCACATAAAGTTCATATAGTGAAATGATTGAGGTAAAGTAAGGAACTCTACAAAACTCAGCTGCTTAGAGCTCAGAGCTAACCCCAAAGGTTTTCTAAAGGTGAAATGTAAGTATGATCTATACTTAACTATCAGACTCAGCAGGTAATCTTCACTCCTAAACCAAATTAAACTCCGTTTTGTTCCTCTATTTAAACCATTTCAATCTCCTTAAAGCTACTAACTTCAGCTATAAAACAACACATAAGAACACAAAACAAAACAAAATAAAAATCACATTTTTAAAGTTAGAAAGTAAATTGTAATAATTACCCCACTAGCAATAACAACACCAGTAACAACAGGGAGAAGCGTTACATAAGTCAACCAAGCCTCCCTCTTCAACGTTATCAAATACGCAAACACCGCAGTAAAAAACGGCGTCGTAGCCCCAACCGCTTGATTAAACGAAACCGGTAAAAACCTAAGCGAAATATTCCCAAACACCACCGACACACAGAACACTAAACTCAACGCCGCGATCTTGAGAAACTGAACACGGGATCGAACGGTCTGCATAGGGACCATCTTCATCCACGCGATGGCGACGTAGCTGAGGAGAGAGCAAGCGGTCATGTGGCACATGGTTAAGAAGATTGGGTACTTGAAACCGTAGTTGCTTAGTAAGTACTTGTTGAGGAGTAAGACTCCGATGTTTGAGGAGTACCATGACGCGACGAGTCCGATTGTGAAGAACCTGTTGTTCGTCGTCGCCATCATCTTCATTGGAGTTGGAAAACGACGACGGTTTTGGGATTGGTGAAGAAGAAGAAGAAGCGTTTGTGTAGTAATTTTATAAGGTTTTATGACAGAACAGATTCAGTTTCTGTTAATTTAATGTCTTGCAGTAAATGCAATTCGTGGTTTAAATATCTTTTTAGATATGAATTGATTATTACTCGAGTAGTAATCAAAGTGTTGTCATTGGATACGATGTGTATGAACGAAGGAAAGGAACCGTTTGACTTTTACGAGGTTTTGACTTCTTCCGTTACTTCTTCTTTCATTGTCGGATTTGAGTAAAGTTTACGGTTATCGGTTTGATTTGGTTCGGTTTACAGTTCTTTTATTTTTGGTTTTGAGTTTACTATGTTTACTTTTTTCTTTATTATAATAAATATTTATTCAATCTGAACAATCGGAAATTCAAATCCAGTTACAAACTCGATTAGAACAAAATTTCCAAAGTCAAACTATAGCAAAAGTTAGTTTCGTCCGCCCATTAAATCGGCATAATCTATTTTATAAAATTCTTTGGAATCGATTACCGTTCTTAATCTTTTATAAAGACCACAGAAAGGTGAGGTTTTTCTTATTACCGGATCCCGGAACTTTCCATGTCATCACAAAAGTAGCTAGTTCCCGATGATTACTTTCGGGTTAGTTACTTTGATTCTCTAATTATGGTTTTCGGCTCAGTTTTGTTACAGGAATGTAAGTTCAATTTCAATGATTGGGATCTTTTAAGTTTGTTGTTATTAAACTATTCCAACTTACAAAATTTGGTAAGGTTCATCATGCATGCACTAAAAAAGTTTTAGATAATCCCAACGAAAATAAAAGTAGTTGCGCAGACGAGTTGTTGAGATGTCAATTGTTCGATTCCTATATACATATAATTGTCACATTCGTTACAATGATGATTCAAATATTCGGTTTTTAGTAAAGTAGGAGTAGGTGTTAATTTTATAGAACTTTCTTTTGGTGATACATATATAATCTTTGGATATAAGAATATATCATAGAAAAGGTGGAATATCAGTTCATGGGCACGCAAGAGCACGATCTTGTCTGTTGATTTAATGGAACGCGCTTGAATCTCATTATTAAGAAAGATGGACAGTATACTCATCCCCACCACTTGAGATCCTTCGAACATCTCTTGTTCATGAACCGGTTCTGAACTAGTTGGGACCTACATCCTTGAATCCAAAATCTCAACGTCAGACTTCACCATTACAATTATTGATGCCACGTTGATAATCACAGAATATTGGGCTCTTGCAATAAAAATGTGGATTATGTAGATTGATGTGTCAGATGTCAATCATATGATTTGAGTGAGAAAATGTGATTCAGATAAAACAAAATAATCTAAAAAAAAAGATCTTAAAGGGTCTCCGGTTCATACATAAGAGGATCAAGTCCATACGATATCCCAGCGTCTCAAGAGGTTAAGCAAGAATCTAACTCTACAGAGAGTGAATGCAAGGACAAGGTACATTAGTTATGTTTGGAGTATTGGTATGCATCTAGAGAACAAGATTGCGAGACTGGAGATAGAAAATTATGTTAGAACTAGAACACTAATGACTAGCTCACGAGGAGAAGAGATCCGTTAGAGGGTCACCATGCCTATGTAGTGTAGACACAAATTAAAAATCATTTTAGAGGGTCATCATACATCGAAAAACCAGAAGACACAAATTAATTCCAAAAACTCTTATCTCTTTTATTAGAAATCATTTTACAATCTACTTGTTTGATCCGAATTACACGACCCGACACAGATCGATTCCTAACACATCCTAGTTGCTTGTCTCAACACATGTTGATCAAGTCTACCAATTCATTCAGCTATGAAACCCCAAAACATTTTTGTGTCTCTCTCTGAGAATTACAACTTAAAAACCCTAGCCACTAAACTTAGCTAGGTGAAACTTAGATATATATTATTAAATATTTTTTCCTATTACTTAATATATTATTTCCCTATATTTTAGCATCATAAATCTTCTAATTTCGTCAACTAAACATATGGAAATATTCCACTTCATGTCTTGACGTTTTCTTTTTATTCTCCAAAGCTTGTGTTACACATCATTCTCCATATGTAACACACATCACTAACCAAAGTTTTCCCACTACAACAACCTATCAAGCTTTAAATTTTTGAGCTTACATCTAGGAACGCTGAAAAATGCCTTAAAGTTGGAGGATCATCATTTATGAATCTCGAAAACTTGATCGCTCATATATTGTCTTTATAATCTCCACCTTATGTTTGGTTTGTTTGGGTTCCCAAAAACACATCTCAATTGTTATATAATCAAATAAAAGATTTCATTACTAACCTTTACCATATGAACTGATGACAAAACTGAGGAACCTCACTCTTCTTCCCGATAAATGCACCTGCCATGACAAATCAACCGATGAATCATCATCATTCTCTAGCAATGCATTTCACAACATACCAACCTTCATTTCATATGTATAGATAACACAATTAAGTAAAGCAGACATGTCGTCTGGGTGGTGTAGTCGGTTATCACGCTAGTCTCACACACTAGAGGTCCCCGGTTCGAAACCGGGCTCAGACACTTTTAAATTTTTTGCTACGTTTTCTTACTTCATCTTCTATGTACTTTTCAATTAGGAAAATCACGTTGGACCCCATTGCTGAGCTTAATTAAAGCCTTAAACAGCCTTTTTAGAAGTACAAGCCCAAAAATTCGTAGAGGTTTTAAGTTCGAGCACGTGACTTCGATGTCGCTAAGAAAAAAAAACAAAAATTATTTTCCATTTATTCTATAAATTATAAATAGAACACGGTGCGTTTCAGTCATAGACAGTTACCGTAAACACAGACAAAGAAACGAAACCTAAAGGCAACGAACTCGAAAATGACGATCGATTCACAGCAGCAGAAAACGAGCAAGTTCCGATGGGGAGAAATGGACGAAGACGACGATCACGGATTGAAAACGGTGATCGAATACAAGTTCAACGACGAAGGCAACAAGGTCAAGGTCACGACCAAGTCACGTGTCCGTAAGCTAGCTTCCGCGAGGCTCAACAAACGTGCAATGGAGAGGAGAAGCTGGCCTAAGTTCGGAGACGCCGCTAGTGATGACTCTGGTAGCAGTCTCACTATGGTGTCAACGGAGGAGATTCTTATGGAACGGCCTAGGGCTCCTGGTAAAACAATTCTTGTTCTTTTGCTTATGATTTGGATAATTATACTCTATTTGAGACACTTCATTTTGATTACTTTTGTAACATTTTGATATTGTTCTGTTCTAACTTCTAACCATAGGATTGAATCTATTTCATTGTCTCATACTATATGAATCATGAAATTTTTTATTATAGCTCCTTGTAAAAATTATTGTTATTTGCTGATGATTTAGATTTTTTGTAACATTTGATCGTGTTCTGTATTTTGGCTGGTCATTGTGTGAATCTGATCTAACATTATGACCGAACCTAATTCATTTGTCTGATATTATATGAGTCATGAAGGTTTTAGCATTTTTAGTTTTAATTTATTAAAATATTCAAGCTTTTGTTCCGTGAAGCTTACTCTGTTTTTGTTCTTAGCTTGATGTATAAGTTAGGTTAATGGAGCAGTTCTCAATATTAGTTAGCGTTTCTTGATAAACTCTGATTGTACTTATAAATTAACTGTATTTTTTCTTGAAATGTTTTGGACCTTTTTATTTTGGTGCTTCGATTAGGGTTTAACGGGTTTGTAAATATTTTTCAGGTGCTAAAGATGAATCAAAGGCAGCTGGAGACAGTTTATCTCAGCTGAGTAAAGGTGGCGCAGTTCTCATGGTTTGTAGGACATGCCATAAGAAAGGTGATCACTGGACATCAAAATGTCCTTACAAGGATCTATCTGCACCAGCCGATGTCTTTGTGGACAAGCCAACCACAGGGGAAACATCTACCGTATCCGCAGCACCTGGAACTGGCAAGGCGTCTTATGTTCCCCCCAGCATGAGAGCAGGTGCAGACAGAAGCGCTGGTGGTTCGGACATGAGGAGGAGGAACGATGAGAACTCTATTTGTGTAACTAACTTGTCTGAAGACACACGTGAACCTGACTTGATGGAACTCTTCCACCCTTTTGGAGCTGTCACGCGTGTCTATGTGGCGATTGATCAGAAGACTGGAATGAGCAGAGGATTTGGTTTCGTTAATTTCGTGAGCAGAGAAGACGCTCAATGAGCAATCAACAAACTGAATGGTTATGGTTATGATAATCTGATCCTTTTGAGTGGGCCACTCCAAGACCTACCTAGAAATGTTTTTGAGCCCTTCTTAGTTTCTTTTTTTTTTGCTATGGGCTTCTTGTTTATCAACCTGTTTCAGGTTTGATGCATGTTTTGAGTATTCAAAAGATTTTGATCAATTGCGCCTTGTTGGTTACTATGGTTATTCATGTGTGTGTCTGTGGTAAATTACAGTTACTTGCATCAAAAGATGATATTTATTGTATCCGATTTGAATGATTACATGTTGTGGTTTCTCATATAGGAGATTATAGTCTTTTGATTCTGAACCTCAAAATACATAAAAAATACTTACGTTACTAGCAACATTACGTATTACAAAACAAATATTGGAACTTCCAAAAATTGAAAGACTCGTTGTGACACCAAACTCGTAATTAACAGTTAGTATAATGGAACGCGAGAAATCGATGTTGTAATGTAATTTTATTCAATGCTATATAAAGTAGCAAAGTAATGAGACACGAGAAGAGACAACATTATGATATAGAGAGAAATAAAAGGGAGAGAATAATTGAGAAAGAGAGGTCAACATCAAATCTTATAAACCAAATCTCACTGAGACAAATAGACACGTGTCCTTGTCTGATTGTCACAAGTAAGCATAATCTTATCTTAAACTCCACTTGTGTTGTGTCCCTGCATTCTCTAACTCTGATTGTTTTGCCCTCTCACTCTTTCCACTAACCCAACAGGCAACAGCTTGACAAATCCATCATTGCGCAATATACAACTAACAACATTATGCATATTGCAATCTAACAGTTTTTGGCTGAGCCCTTATCTTTTGATGGTGAAATCTCTCAATCTCTTAGTTTCTCTTGTTCCGTTGTGTTTTCACTTTCTAACACTATTATAAAAGTTTGATTGTGAATGTGTTACTTTGATCCAAAAGCATTTAGATGGTTAACTAAAGTACATATTATAATTAATCTAATACATAATAATAAAGATTAGTTGAGTAAGCACTCACACTCATCTTGCTCGACATAAGAGAGGCCCGATAAATACCTAAGAGCACCTCCAATGGTGTTACCCACCATTGGAGTCCTTAGGATTAGATTAATATTTTTTTTTTTTTAGAATAGTTAAGGACTTCTAATGATAAATGTTGTTACAATGGTGTTATCCATTATGAAATCCTTAGGTATTAAAAAATAAAAAAATTGTAAAACATGTAAATTTAAAATTTTGATTTATTGAATGATAAAATGTAAATGAAGAATTCTTAAAACCAATTTTCCAAAAACTCAAGCACAAAAACATGTAAATTTAAAAATTTTGCTTCTTGTATATAACAACTTAGGAAGTATGAGCTAAGAAACAATACCATCTGATGGTCTACTCATGCATCATTAAACGTTTGGAAACATACAAGGTTCTCGAATGTTGTAATCTTCAGACCAAGGGGTAGTACACATACCGAAGTAGAAATCGTTTTCTTTGCATCAGTTGCTTGAATAAGGCATCTGTAATTCTCCAGCTGAGCTCAGTTTCCTCTTCTGCAGCCAACCACATCTCCTCTCTCCCCACAACAATGTAAGAAAGAGAAACAAAGGCAATAGATATAAACAAACAAGCACACCACATTAGCTTGTTGGTCACAAACACAAGCTTCTTCTTCGCCTTCTGCTCAATCACAACAACAGATGTCTGCACCACAACAACAGCTAAGGATATAAACAACGCCAAGCTGTCAAAAACGAAGAAGACAAGAAACAGTGCTTTGTTCGCTATGTGAGCTTGTCCTAGAAACGCTCCTTTAGATGGATCCTCTTCATATTGGCATGGGATTGTGAAGATGGCTGCAAAGGCCACTGTGGCTATAAGCACAGCTACAACAAATAACACAAATCACATAAAGATACCTCCCAAAAGACAATTCAACAATAACCAAAGATAACAAATATGGACCAAAGAGCCAAACTTACATCTTCAAAGTAACCTAGACAGAACCCTGCAACCGAAGTAGGCTCATGTGTATCGCGAGGACGATTTTGAGTGGTCAGCACCATTCCTGCAACTGAAGCAGCGTTCTGAAGAGTACATCTCGTCACTTTAGCTGGATCAATCACTCCAGCTTCTAACAGATTCTCATAGGTATCAGACATGGCATTGTACCCGAGCTCCCATTCAACCAGCAAGCCCATGTCAAGGGCTTGGTACTCAGCTCCTGAAGAACAACATTACAAAATCAAAACAAAGTTCAAAACACAACAGACTTAACAGATATAATACATGAAGAAACGCTATGTATATGCATAAACCTGTCAAGATTGCGATATCCTGAAGCATAGCTTTTCTTCTTTCTCCAAATCCTGGAGCCTTGACGGCAACCACGTTGAGGACACCAAGAGTTGCTAAGGCCTCACCAGTAACATCCTCTGCAATAATCAGCAACGGAGCTCGGAGCTGAGTGGTTTTCTCCAAAATAGGGATGATGTCTTTAGCAATGGAATACTCTTTTAGAGCTACAGAATTACTCAGCTACGCTTCATCCCCTTGTATAAGCTTCCTTCATCAAAAACAATTAATCTCAGCTTCACACATCATAAAATAACCCAAAAATATATAAAAACAATTAACCAAAAACCTTGGAGCAAGAGATTGTTAGAAGGTAGAGGAGTTGTGGATTCAAGAGCAAAATCTTCTGATCAAGACTGGAGAATCCGACCTGCAACTTCCCACCGGAAATCATCGCCGCTTGAATTGGGAAATAATAAAGCTCAAAACTTTGGAGACATAAACACAGCAAAGCTTGAAGACACCAAACCCAGAAATCGAAAACAAAGTTCAAAGCTTTGGTAACCTGAGAGAGAGATAGATAGTGATGGGCAGAAGCAGAGAATGGAGGATGAGAAGGGGATGCCACGTTGATAAGGACTTGATCCTTAAATTGCTTAGCTAAGGATTAATCCTTACCCTCTGCCCTTTTTTTAATATTTTTTTCACCCAATTTGTCTAGGTAATAACGCTAAGGATTGAATAGAACCCAGCGTTGTAGGTGCTCTAACAAACTTGTAAAACATTATTGTGAAGGGTTTATACAGCATGATTGAGTTGAAGAAGATTTTATTATTTGTTCATTGTGGCAACTGGCAAGTAATGGACGGTTTCAATGTTCATATAATATCATGTTCAAGTTGATATTATTAATCTAAAAGAATTTTAAGATCCCTTTTCAATTTCTTGTCTTTCCCTCCTTCCTTCCTTCCTTCCTAGTGATATAATTAGTCAACTATTCCAAATCTGTTTAATTAAATGATTAATTCCAACATTATCTGACAATTATGCATAACAATGGTGGCCAGACAATTCTCTTTACATTAAATTAAAACAAATACTTTAAAATCATTATCTTTTACTTAGATTCCAGCTTAGTCTCCTCCCAAAAAAGAATTTTAAATGTTATCGTTCAACCAAAAGGTAAAACTTGAGAACTAAAATCACTAAAGGATCCTTGGAAACGTTCCATCCAAATTAATTTGATTCCTTTGTGGTTTTATAATCCTTGAATGTTTAACTACAATCACAACATTTAAATGTACTACTTTTTTAAAAAGAAAAAACATTTAAATGTACTAAAGCGAGACACGCTACGCCACGCCAGTGTGCCATACCAATAAAAAAACTGAATACGTAAGGATTCGCACCAAGCCGGTATGGATTTAATTCTGTAGCACCCATGCTAAACCAGTCGTACCGGCTAAGATCAAGCATGCAGTAAAGCTATAAAGGTAATGTTTTATTCTAAAGAAAAAGAAGTTATTGTTAAAAAACAAGCATTATTTGCCTTAAGCAGTTTATCTTTCACCGAATTAACGTAATATAATTATTTATATAATATTGCCTATCAACTAATACGATAATTTTTTAAACAAAACGTAACTTTCTAACCAGCTCCGTTTCTTCCCTAGCCTGAATTAAGAGCTGATTAAAAATTCTTAAAAAGAGAAAACTAAAATAATAAAATCAACAAAAATTACAATTAGCTATGTAACAATTTCTCTAATCTATATTACTACTAATTACTATATTACTAACTAAAAAAAACTCAATAATTACTTCTTTTCCTCAAGTCAACCACGACAACGCTCACGTTATCAGAGCTCTGTCTCGCCAGAGCCAGCTTCGTCAAGAGCAACGCCGCATCGGAGCACGCGTTGTGCGCCGTATCACAGTCTCCTCCTCCTTCCGCAGCCGCCGCAGCACCTTTAAGACACATACGAGCCACACCACACGCCGTCTCGTTCGTTACAACGTCCCAAAGTCCATCACTCGCCAGAATCAAACACTCATCGTCGTCGGTTCGATCCGTTACAGTCACCTCCGGATCCGGAATCACATACGGTTTAAGGTAATTATCACCTAAAGAAACAAAAAAATAATAATAATTAGATTTAATTTTCAGAGAATTAATTAACAGATAGATTAATGAATAATGAGATGTTTACTCACCAATAGCTCTAGACATGGCGAGAACACCAAGAACCCTAGCTCCGTCCCAGTAAATAACCCGCCCGCCCGCTTCTTGGATCCGATTCAATTCATCGGGTCGATCCGGCTGTTACATCAAAATAACAAACAAACTCTTAGCAAATATATTTTTTATTTATTTATAAACAATCTGTTTAAGTTTGTAACTAACCTTATGATCTGAAGAGAGAGGGATGGCGACACCGTTACGGCAAAGCACGGCGCGAGAATCGCCGCAATTAGAGACGACGATCTTCTCCGGCGTGATAACGGACACAACGGCGGTGGATCCAACGGCGTCGCACTGAGGAGACTGCAATTCGCATCTACAAGAAGAGCTCCGATTCGCGCCGTTAGAGTCTCGCCGGCTAACTTCACTATCCATCTTCTTGAAGCTCTTCACCATCGTCTCCTTCCAGTCATCTCCGTTGGTCATAGCTTCTTGCTTCACTATCTCATGTAACCTCTCTCTGCACTTCTCCGCGACGTGAGAGCAGCCGTGGCCGTCGAACACACCGTAGAAGTGGAGATTCTCGGACTTTTTGTGGAGGAGGAGTGAAGGATGGAGGGAGACTGCGTCTTCCATGTCTCTTCTCCTTCCGCAAACCGACGTCGTACCGATCTTAGGTGCATCATCTGAGGAGAAGTATCTGCTCTCTGCCGAATTTGAATTCGTGACCGTTGATCCCGGTGACGTTTTCTCACGCTTCTGCCGTTTAGGAGGAGCGACAGCGGATTTAGCAACGATCTTGATGGAGGGAAGGAGATCTAACCTCCGTTTAAGAGAGGGTTTAAGAGAGGTTCGAGTAACTGAATCAACCCGTGCAGACGCCGGTTCACTATCTCCAACAACACTACAACAAATTCCAGCCATGTGAATCTCAAACACTAACACAACAACAATAACAATAACTTCTAATTCTAGAAGGAGTTTTGAGTCTGCAACAAGATATAATCACTGAGATGAAGAGAGAGGAGAGATATATAAGTAAAAGATGGAATGGGATTTGAAAAAAGAGAAGGTTTGATTTAAAAATAAAAGGTTCCGCACGTAAATTATATAATCTCTGCCGTTCGTTTTTCTTTTTTCTTTCTCTTTGAGATCTATACACGTGTGCCGTTTTGTTTTGGACACGCCGTTAACGTGGCCCAATTATAGGGCGACACTGTTTAACGGTAACGACCGTCCTTTACACGCATGTGGTCCACCCCTTCGTTTTTTGTTATTTAAAAAAATTTCTTTAGTATTTTATATAATTATTAAATACAAGAATATGTTGTTGGTTAAAATAATTATATAATCCGAGGTCAACAATAATGGAAGAGTGAATCTTTTTTTTACTGGCTTTTTATCTTTTCTCAACTTTTTCATAAAATAATTACCAATCAATAATCATTTAGATACATGTAGGATATGATTGTATGGCGATAATATTTTGGTAATTCAGCTTATAATTTACCAATCAGATAGAAATAGACTTTATCATTATTACGCTAGGTACTGTTTCACTGATGATAAATATACCACTTTCTTCTTTCATTTACTCTAATAATTTTACTCGCATTTCCTCCATTTAATTTACTCCTTGTTACTCTGATATTAATCAATCATATCCGTAATAGAAGATTGTAATTTATACGTGTTACATGTTTTTTCCTTCTCTGTGTTAAATGTTATGTAGTATTTAGAGGTAGATGATTATATATACATTAGGCGTTAAATGTAATGTACGTGTACAATGATTTATATACATAGAAGATTCAGAATATCTCTGACTACATATGTTTCAGCTCATTCAAAAGCACTAGTCCATGCAAATTTAATTATATTTATTTCAGAAAGAAAGTTCAGAATATATTTTTGAGATATTTGCTGAAAATGTTTGGGAAAACTCTTTGTTAAACAAACAAATAATGCTAGAGATATTTTGGGTTCGTATTGACGAAGTAGTTTTATTTGTTTATGATTTCTCCAATGCTTAGTCAATGTAAGTGTCGATCTTCGACACGTAGTAATGTTCGTCTCCCACTTGTGCTCAGATTCCACTCCCAATCTCCCATCATCAATTCACCATTCACCACGGAGAGGTGTATACGACCACGCCTATATATGCGTCCTTGTATTATTACAAAGCAAAAAAATCACAATTAATACCGAGCCTGAGAAGATACATACTGTATTAAAAATAAAACTAAGAAGATCATATCTATAAATTATACAAAGTGTGTACATATTGTTCATCACAGACCCACAAAATACAAGTTCAAAGATAAGGATTACTCAGACACATGATATTGTGTTTAGCCATTTTGAATATCATCAAAAAGGTTACAAATTTTATTTATAAAGTGTGTTTTGAAGGGTTCTAAAAACTTTTTTTTTTATAGAATTGTTATGAAATCCTTCCATACTAGTATCAGTTTCTGTTTTGGTTCTTACTTACGTGATCACAAATATGTATAGTAGATGTGATCAATCGATGATTTGTTGGGGAACTGTGTAATAAAAATCACAATTCACAAATGCAAGTTTCGGTAGTGAAGAAGAAACTAATTTAAAACATTGTAGTCCTCATCCTCAGAAAATCATGACTTAACAAGGGCTTTTTGCATAATTGACCCGAAACTTGAAGTCGACCACAAAACTAACCTCATTTTTTTTTGGAACTTTATTTTGTCCAATTCACCCCACAAGTTCATATAATTCACGAAAATGTCATCAATTTGTTTTTTTATTTTTTTTTCGAAAATGACATATTTACTCTCTCACCCTCATCATCTTCAAGTAATTACAAGATTGTCATTGTCATCAATACTCCAACAACCATGAACAACCAATTTTTGAAGCTCTTAATGCCTCCAAATTCAATTTACTCTTCTTATTTCTCTATTCTCATGAACTAAACAACACATTACAACACATATCTCTCACTTTCTCTCCACAATGAGCTAAAAAAAACCCAAGATTTTGATTCTACATTTTTTAGGGTTCATATATTCAAAGAAATTAAAGATTCAGGGTGGATTACCTTCGTTTGAGATCCTGAGTGCTTGATTCTACATTTTCTAGGGTTAATATAG